GCAAGAACAGTTGAACTCCACCTTACCGACCGATTGGTTGTTAGGGAGAGTCCTGCTCAAAAGGGTGGTGTTGGTTTCCATGTTGACCAGAGACAGGCTCGTGTTACGGATGCTGCTGATGTTAGATTTTGTGCTGAAGTCCACAAATACGCTGGCATTGCTAAGGGCAATATGGAAGGAGGGCCAGATACTGAGCTCTGCAAAAGCTGTGGGAAAGGATGTACATAAGAGAAATGGCAAAGAGAAAGAACATTTACTTATTGCTCATGAATCTTTCACAAAATGTTCTGAATACAGTATGTCTGCAATGGGTAAAATGTGGTCTCACAGATTTTGTCATTATTGTTTCTTTGTCTATTCTTTTTAGATCTGCCTTTTGTATATCTGCTTCTTCAAAACTTTATTGGGTGTCTGTTACTGTGCCCACAGAGTGTGTTTCTCATTCAGTGTACTGTAGTAATTCAGTAACATGAACTGAACATGAATCCACTTGAGTGTGGGTCTAATTCATGTCTGGACTATATGAAAAGTGAAATCCAAATGAGAATTCCTTTAATTGACATTCATAAACAGTCTTAATCAGTCTAGAAGAAAAGTTACTTAATTGTTTTATAGTGTCAATTTTGACAACACAGTTGTGCATCATTGTTTGTGATACAACAATCCCATGTACAATTATATAACAATAAACAATATATTGACCTATTGATATATGCTCCCACACCCAAGTGTACTTCAAGTGCACCACACAGCCAAAAATGATCAAATTTGCTCAGTACAACTAAACAATAAGCTCAGTTATCAACACAGACATCATGGATCCACAAACAATTGATATGCATCAGTAGTAGCTATATATTTCATACACAGTAAGTTAAACATTAAGTTAAAGTTAAGTAGTAATTAGCTGTTTAGCTGTACCTCTGCAGGGAAAAGGTATAAATGTTGCAGCACAGTAGAATATTGCTTTATGGGCTATTGTTTCTTGTAGTGCATAAATCCTACTGTGCAAACCTCAGATCTTCACAAAGCAAAGGGGGTGAGGGAAGAGGAAGATGCGGACCCTCCTTCACTCCTCTGACTTTTCCTTCAGCCCAACATCCCTATAGCACATTTAAAATGGCATGATCCTGCCACCCTTTTCAAACATGAACATAAGTTATTAAGCCGATAGGCTTGGTGACACTCACCATAGCCCGTGAGCACCAGCAGGAAGGGCAGCAGTGTGATGGCCTGTGGCATTCCGATGTCCGTGCCTCTGCTTTCTTCTACACCACATGACCAGCCTCTTCCACCCCTGCTGACCTCTACAAATCAGAGGCAGACACGCAAAACAAAGGAATATTCCACAAGGAAACAAATATTGTTGTTGGTGTCATCGGCCAGGAGAAGGTGTGGAAGATGTATTACATCTGAAGTAGGAAAACAGGAAGGCTGTGCCCATGAATTTTCTAGATTTACCAAAGCGTCTTCCTCTTCCTTCCATCGTCACAATGGGCATGTAGAGCTGCCATCACACAAGTGCAGGAGCCACAGGAGGGCTTTGTCCATAAGAAATATTTAGGAGGTAGAACCAAATACTAGTTTGGTTGTCTACAAAGATTTTCACAGATTGTTTTTCTCTATTCAGTGTTCATCATTTGGGATTTGAGGTTGCTCTTTACAAACACAACTGACTACTGACCTTGTCTCAGAAAGAAACACATAAGCACAGCATCTTGAAAATCCTGGTCTCCAGTCTGCTGATACTTGTATGCTGAAACTATATTGTAGATTTCTTTGCACAAACCATGGACAACATCACATAGGATTACACTTAGGCTACTAAAAGCAATACACTGCTAGATCAAAAGGTTTCCATATCTATCATTAGTTGAAGACCTCTGATTAATGGACTCAGTAGCCTATACTGTATATTTTTCAGATTTTTTACTTAGCTCAAATGTAAGTCTATAGCCATCACGAGTCTAGGTGGATGAAGGCTAGATATTTACAGCATGTAATTTTCTTTTGAAATCTTTTAAACTCCACTTATGTGAGCGAGCATGAAATTTATATGCTGAATTACTCCAAACGCAGGTTTCCTGCTCAATTAGCATTTGTAAGCGGTTGTACTCACATCTCTTGTTGACATCGCACAGCGTTAATCCTCTCCATTTATCCATCAGAGCGACGTCTGTACTGGACCCACATTTCTTCTGACTGCTCAAGAGCCAATAAAAGTCACAGCCAGTCACCGGGACGAGCCTGACACACGCAATGAAGGCGCGGTGTGAGCGCGTCAGCTCGCAGCGGGGGAAGCGGCAGGGCGGACTCAGTCTGTTCACACCTGGCTGTTCTGTGGTCTGGAGACGTAGAGGTGCAGTGAAGCTACGTTCTTTCAGAACAATTGTCAGGATATGACTGAGGAAATATGTCTAACAACATAAACTTGACTTTTTTTTTACATGCCGAGTTTAAGATATTAAGATATAGTTGATTATTCTGTATATATATATATATATATGTATGTGGGGGTACTGAATAGAGAAAAACAATCTATGAAAATCTAGTATTTGGTTCAACCTCCTAAATATTTCTCTCTCTATCTATCTATCTATACACACACACATATACAGTGAGGAACAGAAGTATCTGAACACCCTGCGATTTTGCAAGTTCTCCCACTTAGAAATCACGGAGGGGTCTGAAATTCACATTGTAGGTGCATTCCCACTCTGAGAGACAGAATTTAAAAAAAAAATTCAGGAAATCACATTGTATGATTTTTAAAGAATTTATTTGTCTTGCACTGCTGAACATAAGTATTTGAACACCTGAGAAACAGCAAGAATTCT